ATAGCAAAAGAATAAATTAGCAATTAGAAGTGAGGGAGCAGGAGCAGCAATCAAGAAATATTCCAAATGTTGCCACAATCAGCTGTTTGTGCTGGCTTTACGTTATCTTCAAATGGTTCCTGACTGTTTTGGCAATCATTGAAGAGTGTTTTGTGATGGATAACTTCATGAACAGCAATTGAAAAATAATGCTTTGTATTTCGTTGCTGAGTAAATATGGCAGTTGTGATTTGATTTATAGAAGCACTGGGAGACAATAAAGTCTTGTCTGGCCCTTTATTGTGGATTTGGCTGAAGTTGAAATAGTTTGTAGCAAAATCTAACATTGATTTTGTATATTGATTCCAATTAATAGCTTAAAATATTTCCTATTTCTCCAATCATTGCAAAAGTTAGCTTCTTCCATATCAAATCAGACACTACTAATTTACACATTGCTACTATCTTAAATGTACAGGTTTTTAATTGCATATGAAGAAAAAGCTCTTACAGTAGGACTCCTGTTTTTCATGCTAATATCTATTTCTTTTTTAATTGGTTTTATTCATTTATAACATAAAATGTGAAAATGCAAAAGCAAATACTGTAGTAGAGGACAACAGTGGAGAAAAGGAAAACAAAAGGGAAGGGAAGAAACAAAAGGCATTGACTTCCAACTGTCTCTGTTGCAGTAAAATCAGACATTAAAATCAAATCTCAACTTTTTACATTTCTATAGTAGTATGCACTAGCCATTTTTTATCGGCAAATCAGTCAAAATCATAATATTATTTTTTTTCACCTCAAGCACAAAGTCCAGAAGCGGTTTCCAAGCAGAAACAAAAGTACTTATGTTCTTTTCTTTTTATCACATGCTAACCAAAGGTTAATGTTTGCATGTCAGAAACATAGAGTTGTTTCTTGTTCCTTCTAACAGCAAGCTGAGAAGGAAATTTCAAGAGCAAGAAAAGGTGATGCAGATAAAATGGCTGTCACGGCAGCCATGCCAGTTCACAGAATGGTTGGACATTGCCTACCAAGAATGCTATATGCTATTTCAGTGAAATCATTGTGGGGGAAAAACATTGCTACAAAATGATTATGTTCTCATATGCTGGTGCTGCTTTCTTTTTGATATTATAAACTAATTATTTAAAAAAGAATAGATGAGGCAAGTCCCAAAGGAATATATAATGCCCACTGCCTGGCCTGTTGCCTTGCTTCCTAACCTTGGCAACTTTCGGGTGTATGGACTTCAACTCCCAGAACATTAAAGCAATTTCCAAGCTGACTGGAGAATATTGGGTATTGAAGGGCAAAGATCAGGAAGTTGACAAGGTTGGGAAACGCTGCAAAGGAACCAGAAGCCAGGCAAACTATGCTGCAGAGCTATACCTCGGTATTCAAGAATGTCACAGATCCTGCTCCTTTACCTTCATGTGGATAAAGGAGATGCTTATCTGTGTTTAGCTGAATTCATAACACTATACTATACTTCACCCACATGGACCACTGTGTGTTTGATGGTCCAAATTCTATGAAGTTTTATGTCCCTCAATTGAATGTGAGTTGGAAGCCCAGTATGGTAGAACAAGCCAGTGAGTTAGTTCTAGTTCCCTCTGGATTAATTTTATTTATCAAATTTACAAGGGCAGTTTGGAAATAAAGCTCCATTTGAGCATGTGTGAGAAATAGGCGGGGATAGTGACACGTGTCCAATGGCACCGTGCGCAATAGTTCAGTAGGCAGTGAGGAGTGGAAGGAGAAGGTTGTGTTGTAGTTGACGCGTCCGCTAGATCAATTGAAAATGAACCAGTTTTTTAAACGAAACAGTGGCTTGCGTTGCACCGCAACGATGACAATGCGCTTTACGATGCTGTTACAGGGTGGCTTCGTTCACAGGCAGGAGTTTTTTTGCAAAAGGAATTTCAAACCTTGTAAGACCTTATGAGAGTTGCCTATTTGAATGGCGATTATGTCAAAAAGTAATATAATGTAGTTTTCTAATGTGTATAATAAAAGTTCTGTATCTGCGAGTGTCTGTCATTGATAACCAAATGGAGGTTTATTTCCGAATTGCCCTCGTATATACTGACTGTCTCACTATCTAGAAAGACTCTGGGTAGTTTAGAATGGCATAAAAGCATTAAAATTAAACATACAGGTTAAAAATCAACAGCATGAACTTCTTGGAGATAGCCTTTCGTCTTTCACTCAACCAACCACTTCCAACATAGCACGCCACGACACCCCCCCCCGGGGGCCCAAACCAACCAGCAGAGCCAGGTTTTAAGGCCCTTTCAGAAGGCCATAAAGGCGGAGGCAGATCTCACCTCCAGTGGCGAGATATTCCAGAGGATGGGGGCCAGGCAGAGAAGACTCTTCTCCTCACCCTCACAGCCTGAAATTCCTTGGCTGATAGGATCTGTGCAAGGCCTCTGCTGCCAGAGCTAGTGGGGCAGGCTCATCCCATTGGGCCTATGAACTGTAGAGCTCCAGCCATTCATTGTCTTAGTTAGCAATTGAGGCACAGAATTTCAGGATTGTAGTAGATGAAAAAAGAAAAGCCAAGGGAGTTGGAATGCATTGGATATACATCTTATCGAGTTAAAATGCTTCTTTCTTCTGCATTATAAAAGGATGTTTCAGAAATAGAAGAGAAAAAAATGTTGGGTTTGACATACTACAGAACTGCATCTCCTCCTCGTACCCATATGCAGCTTTTGGGTGGGAACTAAAATTTTGGATGGATGTCATACCCTGCAGAGGTTTACAGCATGCATTTCTTCCTTAATATCTCCAGATCCTCCAAAAATGGAATGCAACCCTGAATATGCCAATCATATACTAGTACAGCACTGATGGCATTAAACATTGTGCGTTTCTGCTATATAATAGTTGTTTTGCAGTTGCTTCTTGTTCATTGCGGTTTCTAATGTTTGTAACAGGAAACTGGATAAACCTATTTTTAGCCTGCTGTAAATTAAAGGCTAAGAATGAAATTTTGCTGTTTTCCTAATTTGGTTCTCTATGGTTGTGCTGGATTACAACTTCCATCATTCTCAATCAGTACACTATAGCTAGCAATGCATGAGGAAAGTTGTATTGTATGAGAGGATTAATAGTAGATGAGAGTTCAACCCCGAGCTACAGATATTCTCTTTTAATAGTACATGGGAGTTTTATGTATACTGAAACCCTGGAAATTGGAACGAACAATTTATAATACTATATATTTTGTATAAAATAACTTGTAACTGGAAGTTTTTAAGAAGAGACTGGACAGCCATTTGTCCGAAATGGTATAGGGTTTCCTGCCTGAGCAGGGGATTGGACTAGATGACCTCCAAGGTCCCTTCCAACATTATTATTATTATTATTATTACTTTATTATGCCAAATATAATGTAACTTAAAATCTGTCAGAATAATTCAGAAGTTTTAGAACCATGGAGTTGTGGATGTAAATTAATATATTGGGCAGGGGCACAGTGGGAAAGGCAAACTATTTCTTAACTTCAGGTGCAATTAAGTTAAAGTGTTGGACTAATCCCAGAAAGGCCTAGTCTAGGTTGAAGCCCTGCCTCAAGATGAAAGATGACTGACTGATTTGTGGCCAGAAGCTTTCTAGTAGCTAGAATAGTGATGGCTAACCTTTTAGAGACTGAGTGCCCAAACTGCAACCCAAAATTATTTATTTATCGCCAGGTGCCAGGTGGGCGTGGCCCACTGGGTGGGTGTGGCTATAGTAGTCATGGCAGACTGGGTGAGTGTGGCCAAGGTGGGAATGGTCACCTCGATGTTACTTGTAGGGAGGGACGCCTGTGGGGGCCGGGCAACGTTGGGGGAGATCCAGGGGGTCTCTGGCAGGTGGGGCGGTGGGCAGGAGGCTCGTCCTGCGGGGTGAGGCAAGGCGAGGCAGGGCAAGGGTGCCATTGTCGCAGGGCAAGGCGAGGCAGGGGCCGGGGCGGCTGCTGCCTGACACCATCGGCCCCTGCACACAGAGGCCAGTGAGCGCATGGGGGCCAACAGTGTCCGTCAGCAGCTACAGCCTGCCAGCCCCTCGACCAGTGCACTCTGGGGCTCCGCAGCCCACCGCCAGCAGTTCAGAGAAGCCGCCTCTGAGCTGGATGGCTGGCCGACAGCTGAGGAGGCGATGCAGTGGGTCGTGCCCAGGAAAAGGAGAGCATGTGAGGCAAGGATGGACAGGACGGGGGGAGGAGGGAAACCAGCCGTGCTGGGATACATCTGCCCACGTGGGACCTCAGTGAGTTAGCAGACGGCTGGTTGAAGAGGGACGGTTGCCATCTCTGGGGCATGGCGCACATGCCCACAGAGAGGGCTCTGAGTGCCACCTCTGGCACGCGTGCCATAGGTTCGCCACCACTGAGCTAGAACTTTACTGTGGAAAAAAATTGAAGAAGGATACTCCTGGGGAAAAAGCAGGTTATAAATCTAACAACTTAAAAATATATAAAGCTAAATGTCTATGAAGATTCTCAGTCATCCAGGTCATGGTTGTCCCAAAGGTGCTTTTTCAAGAGGCAAGTGGGCTTTGTTTTTCTTTGAAGACTGGATCTTGGAGGTCTTCTAATCCAGCCCCCTGCTGAAGCAGGAGAACCTATACCATTTCAGATAAGTGACTATCCAGTCTCTTCTTAAAAACCTTGAGTGATGGACCGCCCACAACATCTGGAGGCAAGCTGTTCCACTGGTAAATTGTCCTCACTGTTAGGAAGTTTCTCCTTAATTCCAGGTTGCTTCTCTCTTTGATTTCAGGTTGCTTCTTCTCACCTCTGGATGAGAAGCAAAAGGTCTTCAAAGAAAAACCAAGTCCAGTTGCCTCTTGAAAATGCACCTTTGGGACATAAAAGCTACATTGAAAGAGCACTGCTCTCTCTGTGCAGCTTTATTTGATCTTCTTTCCCCTCCCCTTTCCAGGACGTAATTTGGTTTCCTGCAGATTCCAAATGATGGGCGGGAGTGCCGGATGCCAACCTAATCCTCTACCCGCAATTCTTTCAAGAGGGCCTCGGCTTTTCCAGGATTCTCCGAAACGCCGGTTTTTTGTTGTTGTTGTTGTTTTTAAGATGAAACCCTAGCGCTGGTCTTTAAGCCAGTTAAGCGAATTCCTCGTGAAGAGCGGTGCAATAAGGGGACTGAGGCCAGTAGACCGTGGGAACGTTCCGGTTGCCGAACGGTGTCGGAATAAGCCTTAGCGCGTGGGACAGCGGCGATGGCCAGCGGCGGAGTGGGGGAAACGGCTCCGTACTCCGCCTGGAGGGGGCGAAGGGCTGGGACGCCCAAAGAGAAACGCAATCAGAACGAGGGAGACAAGCGATCCTTCCCGCGGTCTCCGCCAAGCTCTTCTACCCAGGGGGCTGGGCGGAGCCGCCGCCGACAGAAGAGGAGGAGGAGGAGCTGCTTGATGCTGCCGCTGCCGCTGCCACTTAGCAAGCCGGAAAATCTTGTTCTCGGCTGGTCCTGGGTGAAGCTTTGCTGGCCTCTGGGAGATCCGCAAGCGGAAGCTGGAGGGAATCATGAGGCGACTGGGGTGTTTGGGAGATGAGTACGTGGGCTGCGGGACGGGCCCAGGCAGCAGCGGGGCCGGGGGGTGGGAGAAGAAGGGAGGCCCTGCGCGAGGGCCTGGGGAGCTCGGCTCGGGGCTGCGGGCGGGATCCGCGGATGGTTGCAGAGTCGTGGGCTTCTCTGCTTAGCTGGCTTCGAGAGAACGGCCTGGAGCCTCTCTGGAGGGGTGCCCGTCTATGACGACGCGCTCGTGCACTTAACTTGGCAACAATATAGAAGTGGTTTGCCGTTCGGTTCCCCGCGATGTTTGCCCGACCTGTTCCAGTCCGGTGCTCATCCCTGGTTTTCTCGGTGTTTTTCTACCCAAGTAGAAACCACCGGGTCTGACCGTGCTTAGGTTGATCGTTTTATTTATTTGGTTTGGGGGCGGTGGGTGGTGAGGGTGATCGGAAGCATGAGGCCATTTGCTCTGGCTATTTGAACAGAACTTAATTCCGGAATTGTTCTCTTCTGGACATATCCGATGTAGTTCCTAGATCAGTGGTGGCGAACCTATGGCACGGGTGCCAGAGGCGGCACTCAGAGCCCTCTCTGTGGGCACGCATGCCATCGCCCCAGTCCTAGGCCTTCGGCTGGGTTTTATAAAACCTTTTTGCTTTAGGCCTCCGCCACCGTGTGGAAAAAAAAAAAAAGGTTCAGTCAATCAATCAATTTCAACTTCTCTCAGGAAAAAAAAAAGATCTTACAAAGTTGGAATTGATTGAACTTTTTAGTCCCACCCAGTCTGCCCTTACCACTGCAGCCACGCTCATCCAATGGGCCACGCCCACCCAATGGGCCACATCACCCAATGGGCCCCACCCACCCAGCACCTGACAATACATAAGTAGGTTTTGGGTTGCAGTTTGGGCACTCGGTCTCTAAAAGGCTCGCCATCACTGTCCTAGATGTTAACAGAAAGAGGCAAATTTCAACCTGCATAGGTGAGGACTTAGTTGCCTTCCTGTTTGCAGCACTTAAGAAAAAGTGAGGAGAAAAAAAGGGGGGAGGGAGAGAGCAACACTCTAAGAACTAGAGGTAGAAGAGGTATGGCCACATTCATACCTATGAAGGGGAGGATACATAAATGAGACTTTCTCTCCCAAGGAAATCTACCCAGACACTTGTTTTCGAAGTGGGTTAAATTAGTAGCTCTAAGTTGCTCAAATATCTAAAAGGGGGAGTGAATTTGGTCAGGAGAATGAATACAGTTAAAGAAGGGGATCTTGCTTTGATCCTGTAAAATCCAAAGGGCAAAACAAGGAGTGCTGCAGAATTCGGTATGGTTCAAGTCAAATTTGCAGAGGGTAAAGTTTAGAGTAGTATCCCTCCCCTACAATCCACACCATTTTGTGGAGATCATGGTTAAAACCTGAGCCTTGCAGTTCTGTGTAGATTTTATCAGCTCCCTGGAAATTGACCCTTCAACAATTAAAAACAGTTTTTGCCTGCAGACAGGGAAAAAGAAAAGGGGGAAATTCTGCCTTGCCCTGCTCAGGATTTTGTTTTTACATAGAGTTCTGTTTCCACAGCTAGCTATTAAGTTTCATGTCACTAGATTAGACTACAGTTTTGCATAAACCTTTGAAAAGTATCCAGCAGTTACAGTATGCACTATGTTTAATGAGAAGTATAGCTACAGACATCCTGTGGCAAGAAAATTTAACAGTCCTCCACTATATTGCCTTAAGGGAACTGTTTCAACTGTTTCATAAGATGACAAAGCAATTTAACTTGCAGGTTTGGTGAGACATTTTTTTAAAAAAGTATTCAAGATGAATTTAATTATAGTTCAATTTTAATGGTTCGGTGTTACATGAAGTGACTGGCAGTCTAACCATGAAAATCACACAAGATGGTTTAATTCTGTTATCTGATTGTTATGAAGATTATATTTTCATATGTGTGCTTATTAGTGTAGAACTTCTGAATATTTGTCCTGAGTATTTGGGGTCATGCAGGAGTTTTGTCTTCTTTGGGTTGATTCTGACTGCCATTTCTGATCTCTGTAGTTTGAAGGGTACATGTGACTAACCTACCTCAGACTCCCTCACCCATTCTGCTACCTCAGGAGCCTAATAGCATTGGATTTCCACTGGTTCTGGACACCCTCAAGGGGCCATGAGACTAGCAGGTGAGCTGTGGCTGGGAGAAAAAAGCGAGAGCAAATGGCAGCCCTTCAGACAGGAAAATCATGGTCTTTAGCCACTGACATCCAGTAGGCCCTTTAGAACATTTAACCTTCTGGGATATCTTGGGGAAAATATGGTAGCCACTACTGGATGACTGTAGTGTAGCATTTGGATTCAGCCTTCCTTCAGAGTTTCTTTTTGGCTTTGCTTTGACCTGACTTCATTTTTCTTAATTGTTTCAGGTCCTCTTCGTGTTGTCGTGATTGTCTTGACAGCAGGGCTAACCTGGATCCTTGTCAGTATCTTGTTGGGGACCCAAAGCGGTTTCTCTCGCCTGCAGCAGTTCCTCCTCAACAGTAAGAACAAGGACACTAAGAAAGGAGAAGGATGGAGGAGTGCTAGGACATAGAATAGAATAATAACTTTATTGTCACTTTGAATGGACACTAATCGGCATACATTAAAATGAAATTTCATTGCTTTCAGCTCTCAAAGGTCACCATCTCCAATAAATATGACAAAAATAAATAAATGCAGAATTATGCATATACCCATGTATATTATATGACAAAGAGAGACAACAGTCTAGTTCGGATTATGTATACACGTGCATGGTGAGAAAAACGAATCTTGCGAGTTTACCAGATGGATGGCGTAGGGAAGAAAGCTATTACAGAAAGGTGTAGTCCTGCTAGAAATACTTCAAAACCTCCTCCCAGAGGGGAGCAACAGAAACAGACCGTAGAGTGGGTGCGTGGGGTCTCTAATAATGCTTTGAGTTCTAAGCACATGGCGCTTAATAAGCAGCGTCCTGAATACCAGGAAGCGAGCAAGCAAGTGTTCCCTTGCAAGAACTACCATCTTTCCTGTGCATGCTGATTGTGCTTTGCTATTAACTAGGGATAGGCAGTGCTTCAAATCCAAAGCAGAAAAGGTGGGCTTGCATATTTCAGCAGTTGAAAAACTTCAAAAAGCTGCTTCTTCTCCTGAGGGGGGGTTATTCACAAACTGTAGTGCTAGGGTCTCAGGAAAACACACATTTCAGGTAAGGCATTGTTGAAAGGATGAAGTAAGATGCCTTGCAGTAGAGACAGGCATGTTCTTTACACCTCCTTATTTCCTGCTTTGGATCTGAAGTACTGCATTTCCTTACTCTTGGCCTTCCGTACGTTCAGCAGAATGTTCAGTAGGGCATCAGAATACCTAGAAGGATAAGAGAACTTTTAGATAGGCCTTTTCTGATCTAAGTGCCCTCCAGATGTGTGGCTTTCAGCTTCCAGAATTTCCAGCCAGCGTGATCATTGCTGAAAAATTTGAGAATTGACATCCACATATATAGAAGTTGCCTAAAGTTGGGAAATATCTCTGCATGGCCATTAGATATGAAAGCTAAATGAAATTTTTGTTTATGAAAGTATACCTCCCAAGTACTAGGGACAGAGAGAAAAGAAGGCTGGTCACCTTCATTGGATTGCCAAGTCACTGAAGAAATCCACATGCCGTCATGAGGATTGTGTGATTCACTGTAGAGAAAGTTCAGTGGCAGTGTGGGGCTCTTTTTATATTATACAATGTCCTGGACTGGCCTTGTACCTGCAAGTAAATGAAACTAAAGCTGTGTTAAGGTGCAGCTATCGTCTATGTGCCAGTTATACCTGAAATTAGAACAGCAATTTGGATTAAAGCAGAGAGAATTCAAAGACCCCCAGCAGAGATCTTTCATAATTTACTGAACACAATTTATTACACTTTACCCTAAACTTTTAACTTTCCTTTGGTGACTAATCCCAAGAATTCTAATTACTTCTGAATACTCATTCCAATTTTTGTTGCCCTGGTCCATGTGATGCATGCATTTATTTTGCTGAAGGGCATTTATTCTTGCAACAATTTCATAAAGCTGGTTCAATACAAAAATGAGACAGTGTAAAGTCATTGAGTGACTGAATAATGCGGAACCTTGGAGTGGTTTAACAAACCTAATGACACCTGATGCTTTTAAGCCATCATGTCAGGTCAACCAGAAGAGGCAAGTCTTCCTTAGCTTGCTGTTTTGAATATCCTTTTCAAGCTTAATCAGAAACAAATCTTTTAAAAGTAATCCTTTGGCACAGTCCATGCTGAAGTATTGAAGAATGAAGGAAACTTTTATACTGGATCCTGGGTGCCTCTGTATCTTTGAGGAGATGAGGCAGGACATTAATTACAGTTTTCAAACAGATCTTGACTTGCATCTGACCAAACCTTTTAGCACAGAGTGATAACCCTACATTGAGTATCTTGCTGATGCTGCTGTTTCTTTGCTTCCTTGCAGGTCCAGAGAACACTCCCGCTACAGGTAGATGATTGGCTACATTTCTGCACAGTTCCTACCAGCCTCCCCCAACCTGGTGCCGTCTCCCTTTGTTCCTAGTTAGTTGGAGTAACGATTTGCAAGCAATGCATGTGTAGAACAGCCTTGTCTAACCAGATGGCCCTTCTGATCTATTGGATATTGACTTCCATCATCCCTAGCTATCTTATCATTGGTGATAGGAGTCTTCATACATATAACATATAAATAAGGAGCCAGGGTTAGGATACGAGGAATTCATATATTTGCAAACCCATGGCTGAACCTGGTCTTGCTAAGACTTCCTGGACAATTGAACCACTATAGCTTTCAAACAGATCTTGAACTGCATCGGACTAAACCAGTGTTTCTCAACCTTGACAATTTTAAGGCATGTGGACTTCAACTCCCAGAATTCATGTGGAATTCTGAGAGTTGAAGTCCACATGCCTTAAAATTGTCAAGGTTGAGAAACACTGGACTAAATCAAAATGTACTTTTTTAGCACAGCTGAACTAAGTGCCAAGACAGTGCATTGCAATTATCTTTGACTTAGGGCCAAATAGATCCTGGAATTGCGGATGTTAAGTAAGATGCCCATGTGATCACTTCGCTCAGCGGTCACAATCCTGGCTCTCCTGTTAAGTGACCACATGGGTCATTAAGTGAACAGAGCAAAAGAGCTCCCCTCTGTTTGCAAAAGAGAAATCTAGTGGCTTGGTTGGGAAAAAAAAACAACCCTCCAGTCTGTGGCAGGAATTCCCCCTCCCCCAGTGCACGAAGGAGAGGGGAATCCTTCAGCCATTGCAATATTCTTTGCCGGCTTCTCCACTGACTTCTTGGGGAAGCTGGCAGAGAAGATTGCAAATGGGGGATCATGTGATTGCGGGGTGCTTGGTAACCAGTTGTTAAGTGTGAATATGTTTCCAAGTACGCAAAAGGCAGTCATGACCATGGGAGGATGAAGTAGCAGTCGTAACTTCAAGAACGAGTCATAAGTAGCTTCCGTCATAACTTTCAACAGTCATTAAGCAACCAATTGTAAGTCAAGGCTTATCAGTAGTGTTTTCCCTAGGCTGCTTGCCATGGCTAAGCGAAATAACAAAAATGAATAACAATTGTTCATAGTTAACAGAAAATAAAGGAAATGAAAGCATTCTGGGAGTCAACAAGTCCTTTCGCTCAGACACCTTCACTAGCTGAGAGGTATATGATTTGATCCGTACAAGGAAGAACAAATTAGTAAAAATGCAGACAGAAGTTATATAGTGCAGGACTGGACACAGGGGAAGCTTGCATTGTCAACTTTATATGCTTTCTTGGGGAAACCAGACTGGCATTAATCCTTATCGGCTATCTGGTAACAAATTTCAGTTTCTTTGCTGCAGTGTAACTGCAGAATCTGTAATCTGATTACAGGTACCAGAGATAGGATAGGGAAAAATGTCACATTTCCCCCTAACTCGGTGAGAAGTGAATTGTCTGTAGCCAGAGTGTGAGATAAAGAGATTACATACGAAGCCTGTTTCTATTTGCTAAACATAGATGTAATTGTCCAGTTCCCAGAATTCTCATTTAACATGACAAAAAAAAAGAAATAGCTAAGGAATTCTGAGAGGGAAGGGCAGGTAGAGGAAGGTTGGTGTAAGACATTGCAAGGATTGGTAGGAAGCCAAGATCCTGTGCCACTTATCTGTCTCGTCTGTCCTGGCTTTGTGTCTCTCTTACTATCCCTGGAATCCTGACTCTTTATCCATCATTGTCAGATTTGGACAAGATCAGAGTGGTCTCGGCAAAGAATTTTGCAGGCAGCCGCAATAGTCATCGCAGTGAGTCAGAGGAGTTGAAAAGGAATTGGGGATACAGGATAAAATAATGGACTTCCATGTAGTAGTTCTAAAAAAGTTGGTCTTCCTTTTTGCCCTTATTTCCCAGAAGGTCCCTTGCACAGGTAGAAAAAAAAATCTTCCTATTTCTTTAATTCTTGAATACAGGAGGCTTGTGTATGTTTTCTGATTTGTAAGGTGATTTTGACTGGGTGGTAAAGTAGACTTCCCTCTCCTGAGTAGGTCCTCAAAATTCTTCAACAGCCCTGGCACCAGCTCTTAAGCTGGTTTGAAGTCCTTGGGACACCGAAGGTTGAGTGTAGTGCCCTGGCCCTTGTGTTAAGTCACCATAGTTAGAATGGGAAGCATTGGTATGATCCTTGGAATAAGGGTAATAGGGAAAATTGTTAGTCCATACAAATCTGGAAGTTATTTTGCACTGAAATCAAGAAGACATATGCAAGATAGTTTCCACTTCAGTATACTGACCAGGGACTTGAAGATCTCACCTTTGCTATCTTTTCAGAACCAAGGCCAAAGAAATACAAGTGTGGCCTCCCCCAGGCCTGCCCAGAGCATTCGTTTGCCTTCCGGATGACAAGCGGTGCAGCCAATGTCATTGGGCCCAAGATCTGCCTTGAAGATAAAATGTGAGCCAGGCAAAGTCTGACAGTTGGATATACTTGTGCAAATCCATGAGACTAGACTGTACTAGACCCCAGGATAGCCTCCTTTGAAGTCTTTGATCTGGCCTTTTATTTCTTTCAGGCTAATGAGCAGCATGAAGGATAATGTAGGCAGAGGTCTGAACGTTGCCCTGGTGAATGGTGAGATAGACTTTACGTACCTTAAAGTTGTATGATTTTATAAAGGCGCTCCAGTTTTGGGGGCTCTGCAGCACTGCTTCAAAAGATGCTGAGCTCTATTCTCCAATATATCTAGTGTTGGATTCATAATCCGTAATATTGGGCACCATGATTTGATTCCTAACAATTTATCTGTTTGGCTAAGCTAAGGTCTTCATTCAAGCGCCATGTCATAGTGGGTGGAATGTTGCAATAATGAGGAAGGGGAGAGATACAAAACTTAAATTCTAAAAAGCAGAACAAACAAAATGGCACACTTAAAAATACCTTAAAATGCACATGACTAGTAGATTTCAACCGTATGATAAAAGGATGATAGAGACGATGTGCCAATTGCCCACCCAACAGAGGCTGGAGAGTAGTGTACGCGTGGCCATTAACCCTGCTCTGCTTTGCTTTCAGGTGTGAATGGAGACTTGATTGATGCTAAGTCTTTTGACATGTGGGCAGGAGGTGAGTGTGTGGTAACAGAAAGGATTTGGTATTGATAGATAGAAAATAGAGCGGTCTGGAGAAAAGCTGAGGCAGTTCTCTGAAAAAAAGGAAAGGATGCTGTATATATGTAAGCTGGGCTAGACTTTCCTATCTTTCTCAAGCTAACTCTTCTCTCCTCCAGATGTGAACGAGCTGCTAAAATTCATCCGGTCATTGCACGAAGGGACATTAGTATTTGTTGCCTCTTATGACGATCCTGCCACAAAGTGAGTGTTGAATGATATTCAGCCCCAAATGATGTTCAGCCCCAAAATACACTGATTCATGTGATGAAATTTCATACAGGTAGTCCTCGACTTACAACAGTTCATTTAGTGACAGTTCAAAGTTACAACGGCACTGGGGAAAAAAAGTGACTTATGACAGTTTTTCACTGTTACAATCTTTGGCCACGTGATCCAAATTCAGGTGCTTGGCAACTGGTTCATATTTATATGACCGTTGCTGTGTCCCAAGGTCATGTGATCCCCTTTTGTGATCTTCAGACAAGCAAAGTCAATGGGGAAGCCAGATTCATTTAACAACTGAGTTACTAACTTATCAACTGCAGTGATTCATTTAACAACTGAGGCAAGAAAAGTTGTAAAATGGGGCAAAACTCAACAAATGTCTCACATAACAACAGAAAGTTTGGGCTCAGTTGTAATCATAAGTCGAGGACTATCTGTATTGACATAAAGCATTAAGAAACATTCCTATGTAGCAGCCTCTGAGCAACCAATACTTGGACGTTATGTAATGTGAAAGTAACATGTATCCAGTGTGGCTAGTAGCGATTAAGAGCCTAAACAACCATTAAAACCTTCTAAGTTGGCTTTAATCACATCCATTGCATGCAATTTGAATAATATTAACAACACAATAAGGATTTCCTTTCGCTTGTTTACATAATTTGAACCCTTTGGTCAGCATACCAACTGGCTCTTATAGACAGGCATTCAGAAGTCATGTGAAATTAACAGTTTTATATGCCAGCCTTTAATATAAAAGTCCACGTAGCATATGCATACACCACCCAGAACCTGTGAAGGAGATGGGCGGTTAAGATAAATAAATAAATAGTAAAATCATGAGACCAAAGTTCCATTGATTGGGAATGGTTCCTTTATGTATTTCGATTGGTGTTTGATGAAAATGCTATTATCAAATGGTGGACAGATAACATTTGAATAAATTCAGGAAGGAAGATACAAGGCTCAAAAATGCTGGGCTTTGCTATCATTTGCATAAGAGCCACAGCTTTTGTCAGTTCAGGGCTGCAGAAGGTGCTCAGTAAGGTTACGCGTTCTGTCCAAAAGTGGGCAAAGCTAGAGGTCAAAGTGGGCCTGAATTTGGAGGGTTGTGTGGTTTTAAGGCAAATGGCACGGCAGTTTAGGAAATCCATTTCCCCCCTTAAAATCTCCCCCAGGCCATGAAAGGAGTGCTGATGCAGCCCAAGGGCCTGATGTGTAATGCCCCAATTTAGGAGCAAAAGTTGGGTTGCCAGATGTGACCAAGAGCAGTTTTTGCACTTTTAAGAGTTGCTCAGAAGACGAAATTAGGCAGGAGCAGCTTCTCCCTTTGATGCAGCACATAGGTGGGAAAGAAGTTCTGATTGTAGTAATTCTTCACCTGGAGGTAGCCTTGGCAGCCTTTTGGCATCACATGGTTCTTTGTCTAGAACAGGAGAGGCAGCTGTTTTTCCATCTTCCAAAAGTTGCGCTACTGCCTTTTCTGAAATCGACAGTCTAGAACAGTGGTTCTCAACCTGTGGGTCGGACCCCATTTGGGGTTGAACGACCATTTCACGGGGGTCGCCAAACAACGCAGTCCACCTTTTTTTTCCCCCTTTTCCTTAGCTGTGCTACTCCCTTTTATTCTATTGGCTTTTTTTTTTATTGAAAATTTTTTAAAAGTTTTACAAATAAACAACCAAAAACAAATCAACCCTCACCCAATCCCTCCCAAACCCACCTCTCCCTCCCCCCTCCCCGAACTTCCCAGAACTGAATATAGGCTTATTTAAAATTTTAAAAAACCTAAACAAATTTTTACAACTTATAAAATAATTAATAATAAGATATATGTGACATAAACATTAAAAAGAAAAATACTTAAAAAAGAAAAAAAGAGAGAGGAAAGAGAGAGAGAAAGAAAAAGAAAAAGAAAGGAAGATAAAAAATAAAAGAAAAAAAGAAGGGAGAAAACAAAAGACGGGAAAAGGAAAAAAAACAATCTATACAAGTTATGAAAAAGCTAAATGATATTTTTCCATATCCAAATTATATTGTATAAAATTTATCCATTTTTCCCATACAACAAAAAATTTCTCTTGAGATTGCTCCTTTAAGAAAGCCGAAATCTTTGCCATTTCCGCCAAATAAGAAACTTTATAAAACCACTCTTGTAAAGTAGGCAAAGATTCCTTCTTCCAATATTGTCCTACTAACAGCCTTGTGGCTGTAATCAAATTTAACATCAATATAACTTCCTTAGCATCACAATCAGTAACAATACCTAATAAAAATAATTGCGGGGTAAATTTTACCCTCCTTCTAAAGATTCTTTGAATATTCCACCATATCTTAATCCAAAAAGCTTTTATATTTTTACACGACCACCAAATATGATAATAAGTAGCGTCCAAACAACCACATCTCCAACATTTAGGCTGTAGATCAGGGTACATAATAGACATTTTTTGTGGGTTGAGGTGCCATCTATAAAACATTTTATAAAAATTCTCTCTTAAGTTCTGCGCTTGTGTAAATTTAACATTCCTCACCCAGATAAGTTCCCAAGTATCCAATGGGATTGGTTCACCAATATTTTATGCCCATTTAATCATACAATCTTTGATTAATTCAGATTCTGAATCCATTTCCACTAAAACCCCATAAACCCTCTTAATATGAGTTGGTCTTTGATCCCTTACTTGTTTAAAAAGATTTTCATCTTCTCTAAGCCAACCCATATTTTGAAAGCCAATAGAATAGACTCTCTTGAATAGAGTCTTATTGGCTTTCAAAAGCCAATAGGAATTGTCCAGGCTGTCTCTGTCCTGCTGAGCCTGCCAAAAGTCCCATTCTGCAAATGGTGCTGCACCAGTTGAGTAGTCCTCGACTTACGACCGGTTGAGTAGTCCTCGACTTATGACCGGTTGGGGGTCGCAGCATTAAAAAGATTGAGAACCACTGGTCTAGAAGGGCTATTTCTCATTAGGGGTTCTGGGTGTTCTTCCTGCTTGGAAGAACTGAGCTTGGTATACATGTAGGTACATGGATCATTTCAAATGTCAGACCATGAAGTGCTGAACTGGTCTTTTCAACTACACATTTGCCTGGGTTTCTACAGTTCTCCTAAGGAAACCTACTTCCTTAGAAGCAAATCTCTTCTAAGTTTGAGGTTGGGGTTCTCTGCATTAGCAGATCCTCACAAAGCATATAAAAATATCACGGGGAACAATATGAAGGAACTCTATGCTCCTCTAAAGAGAAACATGTGCTTTATTCACTCACCCAAATAAGAACGTTGAGAATATTTCCAGTTGTTATAGATACAGACATAGATGCTGGGGAAACTATTCCAAATCTTTTTTTTTTTAAGCCATTGATTTAAATAAGAAGGTTAGTGGGAGTGAATAGAAGATGAAAAGGAAGTTGCTTAAATCAAGCCAAAAATACAAAGGAGAAGAGGAAATGTACAGATGGAGTAAAAGAAGTGAACCATAGAGGGGTTTTTTTTTGCTCAGTCTACTTCTCTGCTTCACTCCAGAATGAATGAGGAGGCTCGTAAAATCTTCACAGAACTGGGCAGCAAATTTGCTCGGGAACTGGCCTTTCGAGACAGCTGGGTCTTCGTTGGAGCCAAAGGAGTGCAAGACAAGAGTCCCTTTGAGCAGGTATTTGGTTCAGGACTTGGAAGGGTCCCCAGAGTCAATTGAAATAATCTCTGTCAAAGAGGTAAGGCCCCACGCAGACCTCCCTTTTGCTCTTTTTTGCAGCATGTGAAAAACAGCAGAAGCTCCAACAAGTATGAGGGCTGGCCCGAAGCCCTTGAGATGGAGGGTTGCATTCCGCAGCGAACCACCGAGGTCCTGTGAGGGTCCTTTTCTTCGAAACTTCAAGTGAATTTTCTCATAGGGATGGGAGAAAAAAATCTCCAGTCTTCCACCTGTTGTTGTCTACCCTTATTATGGCAGCTACCCTTCTTTCCGTCTCCAGAGTGGCCTGTTTGGCAGTGCCTTAATAAGGCCTACCAGTTGCCCTTTTCAGAAAAGCTTTCTTGCCATGGACTTTGGGAAGAGAGAAAGTGTAAACTCCTTATTGCCGGATTAGTTCTCTGTTCCCTTCTCTAGTGCCTTAACATTTTTCCCAGGCAAAGGGGTCTAATCCTCCTTGCCCTCTTCCCTGCTATAAATTTGCAGAGCCGATTGATTTGCTCAGCTGAGAACCAGCCTGGGGGTTTTATATGTGGATAATTTAAAGCGTGAGGAAGAACTCTTGGGCAGGGGGAGTAGGTAGGAGATATCATGAAAAGTGGGACGGTCCCCTCATTTCTTTATCTCCACAACATGCTTCTATCATGCCTTCTTTACACACATTTGTACCTTTCTTTGATCCCATGCACATCTCAGTTATACGTGCATTCTTTGTATGTGTAGAATCTCTGCACTGCTCAGCTGAAAAGCATGGAGGTCCAAGGAAGAGTCCTGTGTTCATGAGGTTCTGCCAAAGGAACCACTCTGAATCAGAGTTTATCTATTTTAGCACCACTGCTGTTCCAAGTGCACCCCCTTAGTTTGCTAAACTTGAGAAATGCCCAGTTACTGCTTCCTGTAGTGTAATGTTGGTGCTTCAGTTTGTGAGGGGATGGGGTGAGGACTGAGTCTTTCATTCATCTTTCTGCCCGTGTTCATTTTTTTTTTTTATAGAGTGTAGTGGAGGGAATCCAAGCTCAAAGTTTCCATTTGCCCAATCCTTGTTGCTGAACAGCTTCTTCAATAAATGCTGTGTATAACAACCGAGGCTTGTTGTTTGAAATGGTTGCTGACCTGCCCCTCCTCCCCAAAACACCTGGTTCATCCCATGGGATCTATAATTAAAGATAATGTGATTATGCACTTGTTGAATTTTCTATTGCAGCTTTATTGACTACTACTGCCAACCTTTTGGCTGGTAGGCTATGTCCATTGCCAGTTGACCTGTCAATGCACCAATTCATGCACTGGCAGTTTTCTTTTCTACGATGTATCTTGCACGTGAGCTTTGATGCTCCATTCTTAGAGGTCTCACTTCTGCCTCTCTTTTACCTCCTTTCCTTACAATATTACAATATGAGCGTCAAGACAGCCAAATTACAACACTTGGAAGGCAAGAGAGAGGACAACTGCTATTGTATATCAGCCAAAAGCTATAAAAGCATCTGCGTTTTATTTTGCTTTTTCCTTCATTGATCTCTTCTCCCACCCTGAGGTGTCCGATTGATTTGATTTACATGGCCAGCCATCTACAGAAGTGACTTCAGATGGCTTACAAATGGTTAGAGGGTAAGAAAAAAAAAAAGAATAAAAAAACCCAGAATAACAGCAACACAACATTGAAAACAGAATAAACAAACCAACCACAGGGTCTTACATTTAGGTCCTTTCAAATCTGAATGGGATCATCCAATACTGTGGCTCGGTGCACGGGGGAGAAGCCTGGCTTTCAGCATTTTACAGGCTCTCTTGCAGTGCCTGCCCCAGTAAGTTTGGGGCCATCAGAGGGAATCTTGTACCATAGGGCAGGCACTGCAAGAGAGAAGGCACACCTGTCTTCTAGATCACACAAGGTTCATGTCCCAGGTTAAAAAAAAAAAAGCATGCTACTGTGCTGGATGTTATGGAATGAGCGAAGATAAGCAGTGCCACAAATAACCTGGCCACGTGCTATAATTAAAGTACTACACAATTGGCATATTTTGAATTACTCTTCAAAAGCCTACAGGGAACCAGTGCACCTTACAACATAGTAGTGTTATCTGGGCACACCATAGTGAACCCACAAATACTCTTGCCAACTGCCTGCCTTTCCAGCAAGTGTTAAGAATCCAACAGGATCCTCAAATTGTGCACCAGTGTTGTCTTTGGAAGAACAATCCAATCCTGCACCAATAATGGAGAACCCCCAGAACTGGGGAATCCCCCAATTCCCCAAACCCATAGCTGAGCCAATTTGGTAGTTAAAGGCACCAGACAACAAACTCAGAGTGAATTCTAGTCCTACATTAGGCATGAAGCCAGCTGGGTGGTTTTGGGCCAAGTCTCTCTCTCTCAGCCTTAGGAATAAGGCAAGGACAAACCACTTTTGAAAAACCTTGCCTAGAAAACTGGAGATACTTCTCTGGGCAGTTACCAGGAATCAAGATGAAGGCACTCCCTTCTCAGTCTTGCTTTTGTTAAGTTGAAGTCTGTTTTTCTCACAGCCTTTATATACTTTGGCAAAAGCAACTGGTTTGGCCTATCCCTAGGCTAATAGATTTATAACTAGGTGTCATCAGGATATTGATCTGTTAATGGATGGCCTCATCTAGCAGCTTCATGTAGATATTAAATAGGATCAAAGAAAGTAAAAGCAGAGGTCTCAAACTAGATCTCTTCCCCTCCCCCAACACTGGCTGGAACTGATTCTGGAAGAAGGAAAAGAACCATTGGAATATTGTACAGCCCATTCTTACTTCAAGGTCAATAAAGGATTGATTAATGGTATTACAGGTTGCTGGGAAATCAGGATTAAGATGGATGCAGTAGCCCATCACAATCCTGCAAAAGATAATTTACAAGTGTGATCAAGGCTATTTCAGCACCGTGTTCCTATCTGAAACCACACTGAAAGTATTCCACGTAATCTGATTTGTCCAGGGTCCTCTGGACTGTAAACCAAATATCTTCTCAATAGCCTTTCTTAAAAAGAAAAATTGGAGACCAAACAAAAATTGCCGAGTACCATTGGATCTAGGGATGCTTCTTGAAGATGAGACAAACTATCCCATCTTTACCAGCTGGATCCAACCACATGTTATTCTCCTATGAAGGCTTTAATCAACAAAGAGTGATAAAGATCTGCTACACAGTTGTGCTAGCACAACTGACAATTTTGTCTACTTTCTAATCTCTTGCCAGATAAAAAGGCACTGGACTGTACAGTCAGTTTCTGCATAAACAGAATCCCCACAGTGAATCAGAGTAATTTTATCTGACATGTTTAGTCTTGACACTGCTCCGTAGTTATTCCTCCAACCTCCTCCTTCCCTAGGGGAGACTGGAGTACTCTAAACAAAGTAGTTTACAGAAAAAAATGCCCATGTTTTGTCACTCTTACTGCCATAAGGTAATCCTAAAGAAAAACTCAATCAGATTATTATACCCCTGCTGAATCAGATTATTCTGATAGCAGCACTGTGGGGTTCTTTTCTGCTGCTTCATCTCCTGAAGTTCCCTGGAAAACCATAAAACTCTGGAATCAATGGGCAGCAAGTGTTTATAAAGATGTGATTTGATTCAAGGGCACGGCCACTCCTTCATTCCACTTGGTCACCAGGGCCTAAATCAAACTATGCATCAGGAACAACTACAAGTTCCTCTTAAACCCAACAGAGTCCATCTACCTGGGCTAGGCTGATCAAACAGATTCACCCTCCTTGCAGTAAGGAATGGTTAGAGATCCCCAGGATAATAATGGCTTGTCAGTGGCAAGGAGCTGATGGCAAGGATCACCCCCCACACACACACACACAATCATAGACAACATGCAAGAGTAATCCAGCCTTTCTTGATCCAGTGCCATCCAGATATACAAGGACTGCAGTTTCCGGAAATCTCAATGAGCATTGCTGACAAGAGGATCTGAAGTTCAAATACACCTACCAGCTGCTGTTTTGTAGTATCTTCCAAAAATATTGTCAGTTGGTGTTTTCCAGGAAAAATTAAAAGGTGAAAGATGATTTCAAGCAGGAAATTTGTCTGGGCCTTAGATATTGATTTTTATGGCTCCCCCCTTCTTCAATATATGTAACCAATCCAAGCATGCTATCAAAAACATGAATTATGAACTGTTGACATGTATAGCACAGCACAGTACAAGATAGCATAGCATATAGAGCAAGACTATAAAATTTTGTAGCTTGCAACTTATTAATATGCTTCAGTCAAGTTTATTAGGAGCTATCTGGAGATTAAATCAAATTGCTTATTAAAGAAAGAGTGGAAGTGGAGAAAGTGCCACTCTAAATTAAATAGGGAAGAGATCTAAATAATTTAAAATGCCTTTTTGCCTATCTTTCACTCAGCTACTCTTCCACCAAATATATGCAGGTTATTGTAAGGTTTTTGGTGACAGTGGTAGTGATAGGGCTGGGCTTCGAAAAGATAAGAAAATTAAAGAAGATTTCTTGAATTACCAGAAAATTTATTTCTTATATTTTTTTACTTGACATAGGAGTGAGTAAAGTGTGCCCAGTCTCTTTAGTAGAAACTGCTCTTTCCATGATTGCTCTTGAAATTGAATACCAAAATATCACATTACATTGCTTAAACGTTTGGAATTGTTTATTTTCAGTGTAATTCAGAATGATTTTAAGTGGTTGGGATTTTTGAAAATACTGGTCCTATCTTCCTTTTCAGAGCATTGCCTTTGACATACCATTCAAAGACTAGATGCTACTCTCCTCTCAGAAACTTCTCCATCTTTGAACTAGGGCCAATCTTATTTTAATGCCTGCCAAAATAATCCACTCCATCATCATCTCCTTTCCTCGTGCAAAATAAATTATTCAGAGCATGTGAGAAAGCTGGCTAGGTCAAGGCACTGCAGGGAACCATGCTGGCATCTGAAGAGCATGCTTCAACCAGTGCGGTTGTTGTATTGCCTTTGGTGTAAAGAGTGGGGTTCCTGTAGCTTTCCAACTTGATAAGGACTGGAATGCTGATATAACTTCAAATTTTAGTACTAGAGGTTTTTGGCATCTCTATATCTCTGCCCTACAGTATTTGTATCCCCTTCTTCCATCTTACTTTGATCTTTAAATCAGTATATGTTCATCAGTGTCCCCCTCTACCCTTCCTGAGTTATTGCTCCTGTTTTCTAATAGTTCCCAGGAACTCTTTTAACTATTCTGAGATTTTGTCTTTCATGGTTTTGGCTTCTTTTCTTGGCAATGTCTATGGTTTGTTCTTTCTAAGGGACACTGGACCATTGTCTACCATTTGAAACCTTTCTCTCATTTCCCCAATTTTCTATTTTCTGCCCCTCCCATACACACTTGTTCCCATTGCCATATATAGCTCTTGCCCCTAAATTGAGGAATAGGAAAATGTTGTATCTCTAACTATTCTTCCCTGAGTTCTAATTCCAGTCTAAAATGTCCCAAATCAATCCATTTAATGGGTATGAATGGAATTCATAATCCTAGCATAACAAAATACAGTAATATCCAGGTCAGTCAATCTGAGGATAAAAAGGCCCTCAATGCTCCAATAAAATAGCAGGAAGATCGCTGTGTTTTTTTCCTCATCATCGCCTAATCCTTTTGGGATATAGCAGAGTGTTCCTGTTTCTTCCAATCGGGTGACAGTACATTTCTGATCTAGCCAATCAGCTAACAACTTTAATGCTTCCTGGAACAAGATGTACCATTAATTTCTATTTCAGGCAGAACTGGCTATCTGCTTTCATCAATTAGGTCGCTAGTATTCCCTCATGGTACAGTATTTCACAAGATATACTCCGAGAATAATACTGCCTGCTCAGAGATATGAAAGGCGTTTTTTTCTAACCCCATTTGTTACGAGGCAAGCGACTAACATTCTTCCAACTAAAACCGAAGCAGACGTATTTTTGCTTTAAAAAAAAAACTACAATTCCCAGGATGCCCTAAAGTCATGGGGGGGTGGCTCTTACCATGAATTCGCATTCTTGTGTGGGCGTGGTTATGACTGTGGCGCACCACCCGGTGGGCGGGGCCGGGCATGGAAAGAAGGAGCGGACGAAAGCAAACAAATCGAGCGGTTGAGTTTAGGTTGGTGCCGGTGAGCGAATGCTGGGGAGAAGCCAGGCGAAGGTAAATTGCGGAGGGATTCTTCTC